CTAGAAGAAATTGATTAGAATGAATTCCACTGTTAAGGATTATTTTACAAACTATCAGTCCTCAAAAATTAAGTTTTTAAAATTTAATTAAGCTGAGTAGCCTGTTTTTACCCATGCCAAACCTGACTAAATAACGATCGGGACTGAAAAATGAATCCAACCAAAAAGAATATTTTGCACCGTATATCAAACCGAGAAAAATGCTGCAGTGAACCATTTCACCCCTACCCAGGAGGGCCATTAACAGTAGTTAGAAAGAATGTTTTGTTGTGGAAGTAGTCAAAGAATATGTTAGGAACACTCAGTTAGTAATATTTTGAGATGGCAGTTTGAAAAATACGGAGAAATAAATCGAGAAACAGCACACTTTTTTTGTGCACAATAAATAATTATACCCTTTTTCCAATGGGTGGCACTGTAGCTCTCTGGTCTTCCATCCAAATTTTTTCAGACCAGTGAGCTACAGATCTACTCTTGACTGCATTCTGATCATTCATCATTGATTTGAAAATTATCAGCTTCTTTTTTAATGGTTTAACCATTTTCAACCAACTTTGGTTTGGAATGAAAAATAAGAACTACGTAGTCCCAGCCCTACTTCTCCCCCCTCCCCCCTCCTTTCCCCCTTGTAGGGCTGGGGCCAAAACTATTAAAATTCATCCAATTTGAAAAGATCTTCTTTTATATGCCTAGGCATTTAAGTATGTACATATGATAAAATGTATTGTTCAAAGCCAAAGAGAGAGAGAGAGAGAGAGAGAGAGAGAGAGAGAGAGGATTCGATAATATTAACAATATACATGTAGTTAATTTATGTTTCTTTAAAAATGTCAGCCAATGTGTGTGAAAATTATTAATTAGGCATCATATCAAATAATCAATATTTTATAGCTAATAACATATAAAACCTGGCATACAGCACATAGTACCCTATTTATAAATTAAAAATAAAAGTATTAATAATTTTAAGAAGTTTATTATAATTGAAATTTATTTGTATCATAATGACACAAATAAATTTCAATTAATCATCTTTTAATTATTAATACTTTAATAAAAGTGTTAATAAATGACTCATTTATTAACACATTTATTTAAATTAACATGCTACATGTGGTAACTAATGCAACATAATAACAATGCTAATAATAACATTGAATAAATGATTTGGCTCTGTACATTTTTCATCTTGTACTTTAAATGGGCATAAACACACTTCAATTGCCATTTTATTTCTATAGCAACTGTAAAAATAACTTGAATACATCTTCCACTTACTAGCCAGATTGTAACTGTTGTCCCCTTCTCACCAAGGGGAGTTGAAAGAGGATTTTGAGCAGGATAATTTTTAATGAATTTATTAATAATCAGCAATATTTTAAAAAGATAAATATTTACAGTTTATTAATATTTTGAATAAAATGCAAGATGCTTATAATCTTCATCATGAAAATTTGCATATCAGTTGCTGCAGAGTTCTTGTGGCCAGAGTTAGGGTTAGTTCTTGTGGCCAGAGTTTAGGGTTAGTTCTTGTGTCCAGGGCTAGTTCTTGTGGCCAGGGTTAGTTCTTGTGGCCAGGGTTAGGGCTAGTTCTTGTGGCCAGAGTTAGGGCTAGTTCTTGTGGCCAGGGTTATGGCTAGTTCTTGTGGCCAAAGTTATGGCTAGTTCTTGTGGCCAGGGTTAGGGCTAGTTCTTGTGGCCAGAGTTAGGATTAGTTCTTGTGACCAGGGTTAGGGCTTGTTCTTGTGGACACTGGGTTAGGGTTAGTTGACTTGTGGCCAGGGTTAGGGCTAGTTCTTGTGGCCACTGGGTTAGGACTAGTTCTTGTGGCCCAGAGGGGAATTATGCTTTATACGTAGTCATTGTATTTTTCAACCAGTATCTAATTTTAATTTTCAATTCTGATATCTAACCTTTTTTCAGAAATGAAAGAAAAGTAATTTTCGCTAATGATATCTGACCAGTTTTCAAAATTTTTGGTCATGCATTGCAGTCTTTTGTTTCTTATATGATTTTTTCTCTATATTAATGATTTTGATATCTGAATTTTATTAATACTGTAGATTCCTTATTTTACGTGAGTACTTTATATCGCGAAATTGCCCAAGGGCGTCAAATCGCGAGAATAATAATTCGCGAATGGGTGATTTATCTAGAGATTTTACATACATTAAAGCACCATAAAAATAAAAGTGAGTAATTTTATTTTGCGAAGGGTGATTCTCGCATAATTATGCGATAATTTATTCCTTGCGTATATATAGGAATTTACAGTACTTGTGTACTATGTTTTGTACACAAATGTGTTGCTTTTTTTAAGTATTAAGGATATAAATTTTAGTTCTTGACAGTGCACTGAGGAATTATCTGTAAATCAAACATGCCCAAAATTCATAGTTTCAATAATTTTCAGATATAAGAAGTTTCTAAACAAGCTTTTATAATATATCGGTCTGAAACGCTCTTACAACATGTAATAAATGAAATTCTACTTGTAATTATACATGAAATTTTACTGAAAATTTTGGTGGCTATAACTTCAAAACTGTATCTATGCCTCTTTCAATGTTGTTCAGAACTGTGTTTGTCTCAGACCAATACAGTAGGACAGGTGTTTATGAATTGTGTTTAGAGCCTTGCCCCCTATTTGCATATATCATATTGAATGTCATTGAATTAACCTACACATAATAATTAATCATTGTTTGTTAATGAAAAATGTGTTAATGAAGTGGTGTGTGATTCCATTGTGGATGTTTTTTCTCTCCCCATAATGATGTCATCAGTCCCCTGATCTTCAAAGAAGTGGGGAGAAATATAGGTCATTTAAGTATATAACGTACCACAATCCAGAAAAAAGGATGTAATTGTTGCGATAGAAAGTTACGACATTGTTGGTATAAAATTAGGTCATAAAAATGTGGTTAAAACCTGGGAAATGAAAACATTGATTGGCTTAGGATTTTAATTCAGATTGTCTTGAAGTGGTATCCCCATTTAATAAGGAACACAGGATTTGTTTGAACATCATTTTATTATTCTGTTTATTAATTGGATTCTTTCAGGATAAGAGTAAGTTATGTAGATGATATTTTAGTGAATGAAAAAACAGTTGTACCTAAATCTTGATACTACTCTTAATTTAAATGTAAAGTGAACCTTGAAGGTCATATAAAAATTTGTCTTTTGATCTATAGACCGTCACCTTGGACTACTGCAAAAGAAAATCAATTTGATTGTAGATATTCGTGTTTAGGGGGGAAGGTTTTTTTTCCCCTTTTGTCTCGAGCCCTGTTTTGTGCTATTTATCTTAAAACCTTTTTCGTCAACAATGGTCACCCAACAAAAGCTGATTGAAATTTTTTTTCAGGATTTACAAAAGATTTGGGGTAAGATTTGTGAGCTAGAAATCGGAACACAAGATATTTGACAATTTCTCGATATAAAAGTACTGAATGGAGATAGGAAATTTTTTTTTTGTTTTATCTGAAACAGGTCTAACTTTGCTGTGACTTAACATTGTACACAGTTAATTTTGAGGAAGTTTTTTGGATGCCCAGGAAATAATTTCAAAATTATTATATTTTTTAAGGGATCTCCATAACCTGGGAAATAATGGATTACAACTAGAAAAAGTTTTTATTCATTCTTGTAGACTAAATTTATGCAAGTAAGTATAATATGTATAATGTTTAGCTCAGATTTGGAGAGCAATTACCAATGGAATGTACAGAGTGACTGTCACAATATAGGTATAATCTAATTCTCTTAAGTCAATTTAATAAATTTTCCTTTTTTACTAATTAGAAGGACACTGTAAATGTGAAACCATCTCTCAAGTTATTTTTGTTTTGTGTGTATTATTACTATCTAATTTAAAGTTAGACTTGCTGGTAAGAAACTGGGACAATTAATTGTGAATGAACCACATTATTTCCTGTTTTAAGAGTCAATGTTGATACAGCACAAACCAGTCATTATGAGAGCCTCTGGGTCGTTATATCCCTACCCCCTGCTGGGAACCTGTGCACAAGGTGTGTTATATATCCAGGTACATTTCAATCTGGAGTTAAGGACAGGTGTAATTCATTTATTTAACTGTCATTTTTCAGTCCACCCTATAACCATTCAGAGAGAAGTATGAGATAAATGATTTATCTTTATCTGGCTTGACTCATGGATATAAAACATATATATGAAAATAAAAACAGTTATGTCATGTTACAAGTTATAATGGAGATCATTTATCAAATAGTAAGGTGTGTTTGATGTTATTTTACCTATGGAAGTGAACAGAAATAAACATTTAAATTTGTAAAATAAATATGTAAGGTACACATTATAGATGTCTGAGTGGGACATGCTACTTTATCTCTGTTTTTACATGTCATTTAATGAACACACCTTATGAAATTCGAACTTTTTAAATAAACTTTTGATTTGATTCTTGGAAAGGCCTGTGATTGGGTGAGCAGTTGTAGCATTGGGAGATAAGATATAAACTAAATTACACTGAGTCAGACATTTAAAACTTAAAAAAGGTCATGGAGTAAAAAAGGATTTATAAGTCTGGCCTTTTTTGGATAAAAGGATATCTCTTTTAAAAATACAATCCTTGATCAGTTAAATGTGGATTTTTTTTTGAGATTGGGTGAGTTGTAGGGGATTGGGGTAGAATAATATAATGGTAATGCCTAGTCAGTGAATTGGTGAATTTTTCTTGGGAATAATTTGTAAGACACCATTGGTAGATGTTTCCCTTAGATCTACATGTGAGTAAATTTTATTGTGCATTTTAATCCGAGTTACACTTGAAGGCTTAAAAGTAGTCATAATGAGCAAAAACTGTATGATTGTTTAACAGCACTGAAACTGCTAGTCTGAGAAAAGTATCCAAATTAGTTTCAGTATTTCAGTTTCTGTAATTTATGCATAATTTATCAATAAAAATAGCCTATAATGACCAAATACTGTTTTATGATGACTTTATACCTTAAATGTTAGTAACTTCTTGAATTTGAAGATTTATCTTTTAAATTAGTTATGATGGAAAGAGAAGGGGTTTCGGGGAGGGGTGTAGGATAGGGGGTTGGGGGTTTGTGGCTGGGGTGGTTTGGTCTGGGGTGGGAATAAGGGAGTGGCTGTGTTGGGAGGGGGTTAGGGGATGGAGTGGGGGTGGGGATTAGAGGCTGAGATGGAATGTGTGTAGGGATTAGAGGCTGAGATGGAATGGGTGTGGGGATAAGAGGCTGAGATGGAGTGGGTGTGGGGAATAGAGGCTGAGATGGAGTGGGTGTGGGGATTAGAGGCTGAGATGGAGTAGGGGTGGGTATTTATAAGAGGCTGAGATGGAGTGGGGATGGGGATTAGAGGCTGACTGATGGAGTGGGTGTGGGGATTAGAGGCTGAGATGGAGTGGGGGTGGGGATAAGAGGCTGAGATGGAGTGGGGGTGGGGATTAGAGGCTGAGATAGAGTGGGGGTGGGGATTAAAGGCTGAGATAGAGTGGATGTGGGGATTAGAGGCTGAGATAGAGTGGATGTGGGGATTAGAGGCTGAGATGGAGTGGGGGTGGGGTTTAGAGGCTGAGATGGAGTGGATGTGGGGATTAGAGGCTGAGATGGAGTGGGGGTGGGGTTTAGAGGCTGAGATGGAGTGGATGTGGGGATTAGAGGCTGAGATAGAGTGGGGGTGGGGATGAGAGGCTGAGATGGAGTGGGTGTGGGGATTAGAGGCTGAGATGGAGTGGGGGTGGGGATGAGAGGCTGAGATGGAGTGGGGGTGGGGATGAGAGGCTGAGATGGCGTGGGGGTGGGGATGAGAGGCTGGGGATGGAGGAGATGAATATTGATATCTTCAGTATATTTTATATGACAGTTTGTAGTGGACTGACATGTTTGTATGTGTGATAGAGAAGTGTCCAAATCAAGCCCAGGGTAACTACCACATAAGTGGTAATATAGTAGTCAGTACATTGTGAATAGGGTCAAACATTACTGAACTTTAAGATGAAATCGTGTAAAATCGTGTTACACATAGTGATAATTTTAATTGACCTTACACACAAGCTGTGGTCTAACTTCTTATGTAGTTGTCAGGTTTGTTGATCTGGTATTGAATGTTTGACAGAGTCAAAACAACACAGAGAGAGAGAGAGAGGGAGGGAGAAAGAGATTTTACAAATAAAGTGTTAACTTGATACCAGTAAATAATTACTTGAGAGTAAACAATTTTTTATACATTGTATGTTGTATTTTTGCACATAGCCCGGGTTTTGCTACTTGAGTCCTTCATTGATAATAATTTTAAGTTCGATCTACATGTTCTATATACACTTTTTCCTTGTCAGGAGAATGTCACATTGAATAGTGTATATATATATAAATAAAGGAGGGCTGAAGATGAATCAAGCCTGAGTGCCTGAATTAGTGTCCCATTTGAGCTATAATTAAGGACGCATTGTTAGCTTGTACTGTAACAATATTTTGGTATATAAAGAGCAGATTTCTGTAGTTCAGTAGTTCCGCAGTGTTATATATATATTTGACCTTGGGAGGGGTCACATACTTCAGTGCTTCTGCATACTCTACACAGATGTTTCCCATTCAGACATTCCATATACTGACCTGTCATCAGCTAACAGAGGGGTGGATCCAGGAAATACTGTAGGGTGTAGCTCAGGTCAGTGAAGGAGGGATTTATTGAGTGATTTTGTTGATAACAGACTGTTAGGATTGATCTCTCATTGAATTACAAATACAATAATCAAGGGTTATAGTGTCAGTCAATCTTTTTATATTAAAAGTCAGTAGTAAATATATACTGTACGTGTACATAATTTGGCGTATTCAAAATTTAGCGCAATCACTGGGTATGGAGTTGTTGGCGAAATCATGAATTAGCGCTAATACATGTCCGTGCATTATATTGTATTTATAAATGATTTCTTAGCAGTATTCTTGAATTAGCGCATCGTTGTCTGCGCCAAAGCTGCTAAAATATGAAGCTAATGCCTTTTTAAGTACACATACAGTATTTCCGATCGAAATTTGTCCATTGTCTGTTGTTGTAAAGTTTCATCAAAACCACTGGGCTAATTTCAACCAAACTTGGCATAGAATATTCAAGTTTGTTCAAATGAAGGGACATGCCCCTTACAAAAGGGAGATAATCTAGAGGGCAAAAGCAAAGTCGAGTCACTTAAAAATCTTCTCAACAGCTGCTGGGCAAGAAAAGATGGGAATTATATGAGAACTTCTTAACAAAATATGAGAGTTCATATGATGCTATAAAATTAATATTTTGCAGGCTTGATCTGCTTACAAAATTAATAAGGAAGATAAAACAACAAAAATATAAGAAGTCTTGGAGATTTGAGCTTGATACCTTCAAGTTGATATTATTAGCCAATTTATCGTTAAATACAAAGGACATTACGTGGTCACCAGGGTGTGCTGTACCTGTTAACATGGTTAAGACTTGATTTCAAGGTGAATTTAAAGTAACAAATAAAGATTTTTCAAGTTTAAATCATGAAAGGCCAAAAAAAAAAAATAGTCTTCGTTCCTGCTACCAGTCTGAAAAAAATAGGGTAGGTAGGTAGGAAAATTATTTTATTTTATTTTTTTCCAAAGGCCTTTTTTTGGATATGAACTAATACAAGATCAAATTAAACTTGTCACAGGTCATTATTGTCTTTTAAAATTAAATTTCATCTCTTTTGATGCACAACTCAAGGGGTATTTTATGAAAGTCCATATTTAAAACTTAGAGAATTTCATGAAATGCTTGTATTGTGTTAATATAGAAATTGATTACGGTGATAGAACAATGAAATTCCGGAAATTCCCGATTTTTTTCGTCCAAAACTTTAAAAAAAACTTGAGGGTCGGGCACAAAAAAAATAGGGTCGGTTGGGTAGCAGGAAACAAGACTATTATTTTTTTTGGGCCAAATTAAGATTTAAAATAGATGAAAATAACCAATTCGAAGAACCTGAAACTGAACTGAAAATTTACAGAACCGACCGGACCGAAAGAATTTTGAAACTGTAACAGCCTACTATCTTTAGGTTTTATTTTCAGTGATATGTTCCATACCATTTGTTAGGTCAATGCTTTTATGCTAAATTTGACTAAGGAGTACTTTGTATAGCTGATCAAAACATTGGGTACGTGTGACCAGTCGATGGGATTAGGAGTGAAATGGTTCACTGCAGTATCTATTCACCGCGGTATTTTTTTCTCGATTTGATACACGGTGCAAAATCTTTAATTTTTGGTTCGGTTCATTTTTCGGTTGGGATCGTTATTCAGTCGGGTTTGGCATAAGGTAAAACACATTACTCAGTATAAATAAGTATAGAAAACGTAAATTTTTAAATGACTGATAGTTTGTAAAATAATTTTTGACAGTCAAATAATTCTAATCAATTTCTTTTAGTCAATTTGCAAATAAAAGTTTGTGAATTAAGTGACTAGATTTAGTAAAAGAAAGCATGAAACAAGGTTGAATTTGTTTCCTTCTATCAAAATGTATTGTATGGAAAAAAACGTACCGAGACAAAATTATACAATACGTATCGAACCGTGAAGAAGGTTACAGTATCGTTTCACCCCTAGACGGGATGCTTACTTGTCCTAGGCACCTGATCCCACCTCTGATTTGTCTGGGGTGCGTGTTTTTGTCCTATGTTTTGTTTACTGGATTTAGAAGGTTGATCACTTACTTGTCCTAGGCACCTGATCCCACCTCTGATTTGTCTGGGGTCCGTGTTTTTGTCCTCTGTTTTGTTTACTGGATTTAGGAGGTTGATCACTTACCTGTCCTAGGCACCTGATCCCACCTCTGGTTTGTCTGGGGTGCGTGTTTTTGTCCTCTGTTTTGTTTACTGGATTTAGAAGGTTGATCACTTACGTGTCCTAGGTACCTGATCCCACCTCTGATTTGTCTGGGGTCCGTGTTTTTGTCCTCTGTCTTGTTTACTGGATTTAGAAGGTTGATCACTTACGTGTCCTAGGCACCTGATCCCACCTCTGATTTGTCTGGGGTCCGTGTTTTTGTCCTCTGTTTTGTTTACTGGATTTAGAAGGTTGATCACTTACGTGTCCTAGGCACCTGATCCCACTTCTGATTTGTCTGGGGTGCGTGTTTTTGTCCTCTGTTTTGTTTACTGGATTTAGAAGGTTGATCACTTACGTGTCCTAGGCACCTGATCCCACCTCTGATTTGTCTGGGGTGCGTGTTTTTGTCCTCTGTTTTGTTTACTGGATTAGAAGGTTGATCACTTACGTGTCCTAGGCACCTGATCCCACCTCTGATTTCTCCGGGGTGCGTGTTTTTGTCCTCTGTTTTGTTTACTGGATTTAGAAGGTTGATCACTTACGTGTCCTAGGCACCTGATCCCACCTCTATTTTGTCTGGGGTGCGTGTTTTTGTCCTCTGTTTTGTTTACGGGATTTAGAAGGTTGATCACTTACGTGTTCTAGGCACCTGATCCCACCTCTGATTTGTCTGGGGTGCGTGTTTTTGTCCTCTGTTTTGTTTACTGGATTTAGAAGGTTGATCACTTACGTGTCCTAAGCACCTGATCCCACCTCTGATTTGTCTGGGGTGCGTGTTTTTGTCCTCTGTTTTGTTTACTGGATTTAGAAGGTTGATCACTTACTTGTCCTAGGCACCTGATACCACCTCTGATTTGTCTGGGGTGCGTGTTTTTGTCCTCTGTTTTGTTTACTGGATTTAGAAGGTTGATCACTTACTTGTCCTAGGCACCTGATCCCACCTCTGATTTGTCTGGGGTGCGTGTTTTTGTCCTCTGTTTTGTTTACTGGATTTAGAAGGTTGATCACTTACTTGTCCTAGGCACCTGATCCCACCTCTGATTTGTCTGGGGTCCGTGTTTTTGTCCTCTGTTTTGTTTACTGGATTTAGAAGGTTGATCACTTATGTGTCCTAGGCACCTGATCCCACCTCTGATTTGTCTGGGGTGCGTGTTTTTGTCCTCTGTTTTGTTTACTGGATTTAGAAGGTTGATCACTTCATTATCTTTACCTTTTACAATACACTAAAATAGTTACAAATGGAAAATCCAGAGATTTCTTTGTTTTGTTAGACATTCAAGGTGAATGATATTAACAACATGTTAATAAATTATTCTTATTTAATGACTTTGTCTAATTGTCTCTTGTTTGTTGAAAAGAAATTAATATAAGAAATGTAACTTTTTAATTTGGACATTCAATAGATATATATATCAACTTAGTACAAAAAGCAATGTTATTGACCTCGCAGTATTTATATGTGCCCAGTTGATATGCTTTTCTGTGAAGTTGATATATTTACGGATCGACCCCTTGTCTGGTGGGCTATATTTGAACAGCCAATCACTGTTTAAATCATTTTCTGTAAACAGTAGATGCTGTCCTTGTCTATAATATATGCCTCTTGGGAGGTCAGTATTTAGGTCTGCTAACTAGATTCTAATTGAAGATGCTATGATACATAACATGTACTCAAACTAATTTCATCAACTATTATAATAATGATTGAATCAATTAAAGACTTGAAATGTTTCCTTTTAAATGTCATGCTTGTTATAAATATTATATATATAATCATAGAAATGTAATTTCATTGTATAATATTCATTGGGTAAGAATTTGCTAATGAACATGATTAACAAAGAAACAACATTGGTTGTTTAAATTCGAATTTATGAGCTACGTGACATAACACATTGAATCGTAACCTGTATTTAAAAAATATGGTCTGTGACCTAAATGATTCACAGCTCTCAGCTACGATCACGAGTTATAGTAATTGATAAATGATTGATAATAAGAAAAAGAATGGCTTCATTTCAAATGAGATGTTCAAAATGTTTTAAAATCTCTTTCAATATAAATTACTCACTTTACAAATGTCAATTATTACATCAGTTAGATAATTAAAAGTTGTCAAATTTTTTAACAATAATATACATTTATTGACTGGGTTCGAGGGCAACATGCCTTTTGTGGGACCCAAGAACCAAACTGTTTGCCTGAGGAGTAAGCAGGTTAATATGTAATTTGTTCTGCAATGATTGCAACATGCAGTTATCATTGCATTAATGAAGAAAGAAAGAAAATTTATATCTGTATAAATTATTTGTATAAAGTGAGTGAAAGTGAGTAAAATGTTGTATTATTGGTATTTTAAACATAATTTAATTGTGGTTATAATGTGTATAGTTGATAGGATAGTAAAATAAGCTTGCGTCACAATTTGATAATTTCAAAAACAAATAAATCAATTTGCTTGACCTTACACTTGAAGTGACTTTTGAAGGTAAATTGTTTAATTTATTGATGGAAAAGAGAAGAAATAAATTTAATAGCTACTCAAGTTGTACAATCCAATTCTTAAATATTCTACCATTTGATAATTGAGCTCTGACTCACTGACTGGTATTTGCTGCGTTTACGTTTACAGCGATACAATATGCTGTAAAATGTGCAATTTGATTTGAACTGATAAAAATGTAAGCAAATCTGTGGTTGGTAAAAAGAGAATTCTAATATAAAGCTCCCAAACTTAATTAATTCACACATGTGAACTTGCTCTGAAGTTCTAAACCTTAGTAAAGATAATCTGGACCAATCAGTTTCATAATATCATATATTTCTTAATAGATTGTATGCTATAAAGAACCTTGGACTTTAAAGAGCCATATCAGCCTACACAGTAAATGCCCAGGGACTACTGTTGCATTTGCGTCAGATATTGCAATAAATTTCCCCATCTCTCCATTCTTAATGATATCACATATTAAATGTGTACATGTGATGTCATCGGCATCGAAAGCAAGTTTTTTGACTTGCCTAGATAACTGAGCGGTCTAGCATGCTGTTCCTGTACTGCTAGGAGACAGATTCCCTAGGTCGAGAGTTCAACCCCGGGCTCGGGCGGAAAGTGGGTATCCTATATATATATATATATATATATATATATATATATATATATATATATATATATATATATATATATATATATATATATATATTATTTTAATAACCCAAAAAAAGTAAAAAAATATTTTAAAAACTAGTTATAAGTTTGTGCCCATTATTGGAATTTAAGAGTGGCTGTTATTGTTTTTAAGTCTGTACTGCAATTATTACTTAGTTCTGTCACTGACAGACAATATGAATGACTCAGTGAGCATGCTGAGGTGATAATTAAGTCAATGTTTACAAACACTTAGTATATAAAGACCATCCTCTCTTGTATGTGGATAATTCTTATGCCATTTGGGGCCGCACCATTTTTATGTAGAAGAGTCAGTGTGAAATTTAATGAAAAACTGTGAAAGGTATATTAAGTAAGACATTGTGTACACATTTAATTCTCATTAATAGATTCCTTAAAAAAAGGGGGGGGGGGATGTATGTTTCAGTATGTTTATACTTGATCTGCTGTAGAATTCCTGAATTTGTTGTATTTATGATGTATGTTTTAAGTTGTGAATTTATAAATGATGATTTGGTAACTACTTTGTAGGAGGACATTGATTCTAGTTTGAGGAGATGATGGGTCGAGAGGAAACTGTGTCACAGTGAGGCGCTCGTGATGGAGTTTGGGGTGGCAGCCATCGAGAGGAAGTACTAACATGGCTATGTTACGCAGCGTTTTTGGTGGCTGTGTTTCTGACAGAAGTGCGGAGACAATGCGTCTTAAAAAGTAAGTCATCAATTGAATTATTCAAAATTTAACTCAGGGCTTATGTCTTAAAAGGTAAGTGATTTGTTGATTTTAAGAACTTGCATCTCCAAAAATAGTAATTCACAATTTATAAGGGATATTTGTCTGAAACAGAGAGCCTGGCTTAGATAATATTTGTTATCCAGGTTCAGTCAAGGGTTACAGGGATTTACCCTGGGTTTTATTCCATGCATCTTGAGGCTGAAGGGGTAAATAACGTTTTTATGTCCTCTGTAACCAAATAAATCCTTTGTAAACCCAAGTCTAAGCAATGGTGTTTCAAACTCGAGATAAGATTTACTATGTGCTGCAATGCATCATGACATCGTGTTAATTGCTTTTTGTGATAGTGAAACTATGCTTTGTGACATCATGTTATTTGCTTTTTGAGATAGAGAAACTATGCATCGTGAAGTCATGTTATTCACTTTTTGTGATAGTGAAACTATGCATTTATAATGACGTCATGTTATTTACCCCGAACTCAAGTTGGGTGTACAGAAATGAATACCTGGCTTACAAACCAGTCAAATCTCGTTACAAGCTACATAGGAAATAAAATGTGCTATTCACCCCTCCGAACATTTTTTATTGAAATGGTGATGCCAGTTTTGATTTCCTGCAAAATGATTGGTTTGGGACTTCTCCTACACTGAACAGTATCGGAAGTCTATACCCCAGGATTAAACCCTCAGAAATTATTATATACATCAGTGTAATAAAACACTTATCCACTGGCTGTAAGTGGGATCTTTCATCAAACCCTGATGACAGGAACCATTCCCCTTGGAGAAGCCTTCAGGGGAAAAGTTCCTACCACGGGTTTTATGAAAGAGCTATCTAACTCACAGCCAATGGATAAGTGTTTACTATTAATGTTTATCATGTATTCTACAATGGAAGTTTACTTCATGCTGGTCAGCATGTAGGACCGTCTAGCCGTCGACAAAATGAATGAAGAAGTAGGAGACGTGTTGATCTTTACATAACAAGGTGATGGCAGTTTTAATTGATGTATTTGAGTCATTATTAATACAATTTAATATATAAAATATAGAATGCATACATTATCATGAATTATTGATACAATTTATTGTATAAAATATAGAATGCACACATCATGAATTATTGATACAATTTAATATATAAGATATAGAAAGCACACATCGTGACTTGTTGATACAATATATAAAATATAGAATGCACATATTATCATGAATTATTGATACAGTTTAATATATAAAATAGAGAAAGCACACATCATGAATTATTGATACAATTTTAAAATATATAAAATATAGAATGCACACATTATCATGAATTATCAGATTATGAAAAGAAAGTGAATGTTTTAATAAAATATGGACACCTGTGTCAGGTTTAGAAAGTAGGATAGTACAATTTTATGAATACCCTTTCATAATCTAAGTGATAAACTCACAGTTGTTTGTATTTAGAGTTTTAGTAAAAGAGGTTTTAATGAAACCTATGGTGGTATTTGAGGTAGAAATATTTATAGCAATCTTGTATCACAAAAATATGGGTGGTGTATACTAGACTAAAAATATCTACTGAAGGGACTTTAAGGATTTTATAAGTCATCGTTTATGACAGAATTTCATTCAATACAGGGATTTACTAAAGGCAGGGTTGAATGCAAGGACTATACAATTGTTTTTGTTTTTTAAGTCACCCCAAATGAATTCAGAGCAACAGATTGTTATTAATTGCTATTGAACCTATGATCTTGTCCTCAAATGTTCTTGTGGATGGCTTGGACAATCTTTATGAAACTTTACAGAAATCAAGTTTTACTTTCCACATTTAATTTTTTTAAATTGACACAGCTGCCAAGGAGACAAACAAAATATTTTTCACTGACATTTTTCTGAGTAAATTTTGGATATGATGTTTCTGATTTAATTGTCATGTATATGCATCACTGTAACATCTAATTAAAAGAGATATTCATCTTCAGACAGGACATACTTTATCAGATGTTTTTTTTCTTGCAGACTGAAATTTGGTGCTCCAATCTCCACAGCTCTGAAGAATGGGTACCTCCCAATCCCTCTCATGGTTTGTTTGCTTGCTTTGTTAAGTTTATACCTGTCTGATAAAGTTATTAATGAATGGAGATAGATTTTGTACAAAACACTATCTACACTTCTTATCATTTTTTTTTAAGCTTTACCCGTTATGTAATTCACGAGGGAGGATTGAAATTGGAAGTAAGATAGGAAATATTGCATGATAAATTCCACGCAGGTTAAGATGTCACTGTTTTCTATGGAACTAGTATTTTGTTTAGTATTCTTTGGCTACCTGTTCTAATTCTAACCTGTTCTATAGATTATCGTCGGTCTTCTCATTTTCATAAGGAGTAAGAGTGTTTAGAATTAAGATATCATTTCAAGAGTTTAATTAGTATATGACATGAAGTTGGTCATGTGATGAAATTCCATTACATGTACTCCCTAAGGGCATTATAGTAGATTTGATCATGTGACCAACTTCATGTCATATGCAATGAAACTCCATAAAATGGTATTTTATTTCTCTTATGCATATTTCTATTAATTTTTGATTTGTGTTACAAAGAAAAATGTGAACTTTTTAGTCTTCATTATGGAAATGCAACTAACGTACATGTACGAACTTCAAGTGACATCAAAATTTAGACCTTCCAAATGTCTCGTGTGCATTGCTTTCGTTAGCAAGAAAGTGTGATCACGTGACCAACTTCATGTCAACAAATATTGAATCTCAATTTTGTTAGTGTTGTCATATAAGGAATTACATAAGCAAATGTAAATATTGTTCTATGCTTCTAAGCATAGACTTTTTAAATTAATCTTTTCTCCTTTTTAAATATGTTGTTTTGTCAAGTTTAATTTTTAAAGAATTTTTTATTTAAATAAATTGTTGAAAACAGGCTTACTGGCTAATTAATGTATTTCCTGTTTGATATAATAAAGCCATGGTGTAATCAGGGTAATATTGAAAAAAAAACTCAAACACTGTTATAAGAATACTAACATTAAAGGCACAGTTTTTGCAAATATCTTCAATCATAATAAGTCTCCTCTAAATTGCAATGGTTTAAATCAGTAATATGATCATCAGAACCTCTGGTGGTATATTTTGTATAAGGGAAAATACTGCCGATTTGATATTTTAATTCTGTGTTATGTTTGTAGGAACTTTTGGTGTATATTGCACATGAGGGAATGAACACTGCCGATTTGTTTCGCCGTCCAGGAAACCCCCGAGATACTCGACGAATTGTCAAACGAATGTCTGAAGGGAAACCAGTGATTTTCCAGAATTATAACCTGTACACCCTAACAACAGTTGTCAAGGTTAACTATCCTTTTAAATAATTATATCTTTGTCAAGAATTATTTTCAAATTTACAAATTTAATCAATTTCATGAATGATTTCTTTAAGTGAACAGTTGTAGGATAAAATTTCACAGTTTTGACCCCCCCCCCCCCCAAAAAAAAATTATTAAAAAAAAATTGTTGTAAATTTATGAACACCTACCTTTTCTATCATTATCCCCTTGCAATAAAGTTGGGTATAGCAAGTGGCTATGAGTGTTTGTGAGTGTTAATGTGGCTAAGGGAGTATTAATGCCCACCTGTTGTGAAATTTTCCCCCTTGATTACTTGTACTATATATACATAATATTTTCTGATTTTGCACTACTAGTTTAACTTAGAGAGGGGCATTCATGACCTACAGTCATTCCTGCTGGTAGGATTATATTTCTGTCTGTTAAATCAACTATATTTAGTTTGAATTTTCTCTGTATGTAATTTCTGTCTATTGTAGAAGTTTTTGTTGCGGATCCCTGATGGTATTTTTGGTAAAGAAGGGGAGGCCACTCTTTTGTCCGTTCTGTCACTTCAGCATAAGATGGAGCAGTACGAAGCTGTTCATGCGTAAATATCTTCTCTTGTTAATTTCTTTATTCAGAGATATATAAATAATAAATAAAGATATCAATATCATAGAAAAACTTCACACCTGAAATCTGTATTTATATCCTCCATGAAATGTTAAAAGATTAACAACAGTTTCATATTCAAACAACAGTATCACGTTCAAACATCAGTTTTCTGTTCTAATACCAGTACCGTGTTCAAACATCAGTATCATGTTTAAAAAACAGTATCACGTTCAAAAAACAGAATTGTGTTCAAACAACAGTATTGTGTTCAAACAGTGGTATTATGTTCAAACACAGTATCATGTTCAAACAACAATATCATGTTCAAACAACAGTATCATATTCAAACAGCAGTTTCATGTTCAAACAACAGTATCATGTTCAAACATCAGTTTTGTGTTCAAACAGTGGTATGTTCAAACAGTGTCATGTCCAAACAACATATCATGTTCAAACAGCAGTATCATGTTCAAACAACAGTATCATGTTCAAATAACAGTATTGTGTTCAAACAATAGTATTGTGTTCAAAAACAGTAGTTTCATGTTCAAACAGCAGTATCATGTTCAAACAACAGTATCATATTAATCTCTTCAACTTTGAAATCAGGTCCCAGGGAACCAATACTTCTTTCTCAAACCACAGAAATTAGACACTTAGAAAAATAAGTGATAATACGGTAACTGGAGTACATAAATTTTTTTTCAAGATTTAGAATTATTGTGAAATTAAATTATTGGCAAGGTAATATGGTTTATGAGGACATGGAAAAAGAAACAAAATCAGCATTTGACAAATTCTAATTACACAGTAAGTTGTGAGGTTTATGAGAGAAAGATTAAGAGAGGAAGCTGGGGCACTAAAAAACAAACTTCAAGGGTTAAAGGGTAATGGTGGTATGTCACGTATTAAAATAATCAAGAGATTAGCAGTGGGGATGGGGTGCTTCTTAGTAGTAGATTACTAGACATTAATATGGACTTGTTACATATTAGCATTTTGAATCTGAATAAAAATTAAAGTTAAATTAGTTAAGTTTAGTAATTAAATTTAGTAATGAAATTGAATTACATGAATATGTGCAAAAAAAAAGCTGCCATAAAGTACTGCAAGATCATATGTAAAAATATGCAAAAAACTTCTGTATACTTGGAGGGGGAGGGGGCAAAACTTCAACTTCCAATAAATTGTTGATTGGAAGGTAAAAATTAGACTGTCAAGTTCATAGTATGATTCATTGTTGTCCAGAGTTATAATGTTGTTCTGTTGTTTGGACAGATTCCTAACGTCACTAAGTCGCGGACATCAACAGTTGGTATCCCTCTTGTCCTGAATTATAATGTTGTTTTGTTGTTTGGACAGATTCCTAACGTCACTAAGTCGCGGACATCAACAGTTGGTATCACTCTTGTCCTGAATTATAATGTTGTTCTGTTGTTTGGACAGATTCCTAATGTCACTAAGTCGCAGACATCAACAGTTGGTATCACTCTTGTCCTGAATTATAATGTTGTTCTGTTGTTTGGACAGATTCCTAATGTCACTAAGTCGCAGACATCAACAGTTGGTATCATTCTTTTCCTGAATTATAATGTTGTTTTGTTGTTTGGACAGATTCCTAATGTCACTAAGTCGTGGACATCAACAGTTGGTATCACTCTTGTCCTGAATTATAATGTTGTTCTGTTGTTTGGACAGATTCCTAATGTCACTAAGTCGCGGACATCAACAGTTGGTATCATTCTTTTCCTGAATTATAATGTTGTTCTGTTGTTTGGACAGATTCCTAACGTCACTAAGTCGCGGACATCAACAGTTGGTATCCCTCTTGTTTGGTATCTGGTTCACCATGATCAACAACAGTCACGTTAATTTCATGACGACAGAGGCCTTGTCACGGAGTGTGGCGGGCAGTATGTTTCACTCGTGCGCCACAGATCCTGCTATGGTGGAACAAGCTAGCCAGGTGATGCAGATACTGATCGAGAACTTTGGTGTTGCCAGCATGTTTGGACAAGAAAACATCGAGTTCTTTGCCGAGACAACAAGGACAAGTATCCACATCAAAGAAAAATTCCGCTACCATTTCCAATATCCCCCCGAGGATATTCTACCAGGTAAGAAAAATTCCCCGAACATTCAACAGCTCCCTACCTGGAAAGCATTCGGCAAGGTAAGAAAAATTCCCCTACCACTCACCCCAGCCCCGCTACCCAGAGGGCATTCTGCAATGTAAGAAAAATTCAGGTATCAATTCCCTCCCCCCCACTTCCCTCCAGTGATTATTCTGCCAAGTAAGAAAAACTCCAGTGCCATTTACAGTACCCCCTCCCCCCCCCCCCCCCCCAACCACTGCCCAGAGGATATTCTGCCAGTTAAAAAAGAGCAGGCATTGATTTAAGCAATGACTGAGGAGGGCCGAGGGGTATTATCTTAAAAAAAGAAAGATGTAAGGAAATCTTTTTTCTCTGTCATACCTGATTTTGTCGTTGTACTTCAAAGTCTCTGTGATTCTTCTGATTTTAATAAATAACTTTATATAATGTAAGGCCAGTAATCTGAAAAATCTCAACAAAAAATAAGAAAATTAATCTGATAAATTTCATCATAATAATGTAAAAAATTTGATTTAATTGATCACATCACAATTTACAAACATATATCTCATAAATCGCAACATATTTTATGTGATACATCACAGGGTAATGTGAGACAATTTGTTAAGTAACATCAGAATGTAAACATTTCAATTGATGAATTACATCACAATGTACTAGGACAATTTGATGGATCACAATATTCAACTAGTAACATGTATCTGATAGGTGTTTTGAATTTCTATCAATAAACACCTTTTTATTTATTTCTTCTTATTTTTTGAATTTGCATGTAAATATTTTCTTTTTTAAATACTATTAAGTTCCTTACATAACTTTTGTCATCAGAAAGTGTAACAGATTTAATTTTTCCTGTGTTATTAATTTTCCCTTTGTTGTGTAATGTAGACCCTTTGTTAAATAATTACTAATAGTTTTGTTTTTAGTTAATGTTTGCATGTTCTTTGCATGTTGTGTAGGGAGAGAGGCGTTAAAATGGTTTTGTTTGTACCTGTGTTATGAGGCACGGGACAAAAAGTTCCATCCTATACAAGACGGTAAGACTGATACTAGGTACAACTTAACTTCCATCCTATTAAAGACTGATATTGGGTACAACTTAACATCCATGCTATAAAAGACTGATACTTAGTACAGCTTAACTTGTACCTGCTCTGTGTGGTTGCTATGTGTGGTTGCTAAGCTTCTGCTTTATCATCCTACCTTTATTAGTCTGCTGCATAAGTTGTTTTAACTTCTGAGATCAGCTTGGCAATGCATTTCTTTTTAAAGCAAAAGTACAGTTGAACTTCGGTATTTCGAACACCAATATTTCGAATACCTTAAATATGTTGAAGTGATTTGGAAGTCTTGTCCATTTATTCTTTTAGTATTTTACTCTCAACATCTTGAATCCTTGGATATCTCAAAGATTTTTTCTTGGTCCCATTGATGTTCGAGATAACAAGGTTTGACTGTAGTTGATAAATTATGGTTACACTCAGTACTTGGTGAACAGTTTCATCCATTACAGGCTTGTTAATCTTATCTGTAAAGCTTACATCTTGTAAACAGCCTTCTTCTGAATCATGTGTATTTTCAGATGTAATCAAATAGAATTCATCATCATCTGCATCATGTTACAGTAAAACACTCTTATAATGAAGTGCAAGGGATGGATTTTGTTGCTTCATTATAAGCATAATTTGTTATATCAGTTTCCAATATATTTTAATGTCACAGGGAATGAAAATCACTTCGCTATTAGCATCAATTCATTATAAGCATGTTCGCTATAAGAGTGTTTTACTGTACACATTTCACCTTGTCTGTGCTGATCATTGTAGTCCAAGAGTGAACAGTTCTCAGAGGAAGCATATTCTCACAGCCACTTAGAGTGAAAAGTTCTCATGGAAAACATTTTAGCACAGCCACTAAGAGTCCACTGATGACAAGAGAGAGAGAGAGAGAATCACAATATTTAAGCTATTAAATTTCAGCATCAATATGCATTTCTGTAGACAAAATTCCAAATAAGTGAAACACTTGATAAAGCTGTGAATTTCTCCTTTTTAGCAATTTCAGAGGAAGGTTTTTACGAATCGTCACGGAGACAAGACCATGCGGAGGACATGATGGAGATGGTCGACCAGTCCCCAGATTTACGTCATTATCTCAGTCCCCGCGGCGATGGAGAATCGGCCACTCGACAACTCGCAGCCTCCACCATCTCAGCCCCAGAAGTGTCCCTTGTACCCTCCCCCGGAGTCATCAGTAAAGTAGGTCAAAATCTTCATCAGAAAGTAGGTCAAATTTCTCCATCAGTAAATTGGCTGTTATATTGCCAATTTCTTCCATGTCATAGACCACACACCTTTTCTTTAAAATTTACTGAAAAATATGAATATAAGCATGTTCTTGAATGTTGGAGATATGTTGCTGAGTGCAGACAGTCAAACCCAAAACATTAAGTTCATAGCAGAAAAGAAAACAAGAGTATTCAAAGGAATTCAGTTTAGAGTGTTATTTTTCTGAAACTTTGTTATCCAGTTCTAAATTATTTTATCAAAAAAGATTAAAATAATAAAAAATAATTATATTCTCTGAATTTGCATCTTTTATCACTAAATGATATCAGCACTGTTTTAAAACAAAGAATAGGCTAATGGTATTCTAGTATACATCAACAGTTAAGACTGATTTAATTGATCTGGTGATTTTTTTTTTAATTGTAAATGTGAAACTGAGTGATAATGATAAAATTTTCCCTTCAGAGACCAAAGTCGCTGGAGGAGAACTTGAATGACATAGAGGAACCTCTGCAGCCTCGGCCAAGCTTAAGCAGATTTAATTCAGTGAAGCGTAAACAATTGGAGAGACTTCGTCAGCGTTCAGACTGGTTTTTAGGACCAAATACCAACAATCAGGGGTCATTACCATTATCACCAGATCAAAGTTCCCACTCGGACTCCAGAGCTTCGTACAACACAGACAAACTTCACAAAAAAATGTCAGGGAATTCTGTGACTAAAGCCTCTTCTGAGGGCACGGCCCTCGACTTTGCTTCATCCGATGCTGATAGTGTGTTTTCAGATCGAAGCGAGTCACCAGCCTCAGAACCATTGCCTACGCCCAGTGTGACAATAACTCGTGACATCATCCACAGTGACACGATCACTGATGTCTCCATGGCTGAGGGCGACATCACCATGGAGGAAATGGCGCCGCGGAAGGACAGCGATGGGGAAATATGTGGCTCCGAGTACTGCTTTTTTGTTGTAGAGCATAATTACGGTGACAAAGGATCCTAGCAACTGGAAATCCTCCGATCCAACAAGCAGCTAAATCCATGTCACCAGATACATTGCAATATTTGTTTTTGTTTTTATATATTTGTGTATTGATTGAGAAACAATGACTTAAATTTAATGCACATTATGTGAGAGAAAGTCGGTATCTGTGGTCAATGTATGTAGTTGTTGTGAACTTCTTGAAATTTTTTCTTATACATTGTATGTTTAAATTCACCCTTGATTTTTAAAGGGACAAATTTGTATGGATCAAAAGGTTTTTCACTTGTGAGGCAAGGGCTGTACAGGGGTATAATAATTGTATACTTTGTTGTCGCCTAACTCTGGTCTTATTTTTATAAATAATGATGTTGTACATGTCGCTCAGAAAGCAGTTTTTTGCCTCATGTTTTGTTTTGTTTTACACTTATGTTCAAGAGAACGAGATAAAATAAGAAACTTTCCATTTCCCTACATATATAGTATTTTGCTAGGTTCCTTTATTTTTCGTAGATAAAATTTTTAAGAAATGCACGTCCATTGATGACAGATCAGGGTTAGAAGTTTTATTTCCTCTCATACGACTAACACCAGCACTGATATACTTTCACAAATTAGCAATTGATGTTACTATTTTTTAACTTCATAACATCTGGAGTTGAGGGTCCAATGTAGAAACCTTGCCTTAACACATCATTATAGAGAAACATACACATTTAACTAATTACTTGTAATAAAGACATACACATCTGAGTACTATGCATTTTTTTGACACTGCTTTGAGATCGTTTTATTTATAGACTTCTGGGAGTATTCAGGTCAGAAATATACATATTATTGCAAATTTTTCTTGAATTCTGCAATTTTCTGGGGTACATTTTTTTTTACATAGCTTAATTTTTTTTTAGTATTTTAATCCTTAGATTTTATGAAAAAGAACATATTCGGAAAACTAAAAGTTGTGAGATAATTTTTTTTTAAATAATTTACCTTTACCATTCATTCTCAGAGCTATTCATAGGTCCTTATGTTAGTTAAATTCTCTTTTCCATATATATTATGATGTGTCACATAACACATGAAATATATGTTTGTTCAACATGCTGACCATATTTGCTATTTACTATAAGAAATTTAAGAAAAATGTAAAATCTATCATCCAACTTTGTGATGTCAGTGAACATTTTTTCTCTTGCATGAGTTAATGACAGCTTTTTAATCAAAATTGACTTTTGAGATTTTAAAATTGTTGTACTTTGAATTCATACACTTTTCTCTAACAGTGGACTATCTGACCTTATTCCTGATGCCAACATTTAAAATTTTTTGTTTGATGTACTCCAACCCACATTTTTGAGAGATTTTGGGAGAGGACTAAGTTTTTAGAACTTGTGTCCAGTCCCTTTGACATATTGTCAATAAAATATATTCAAAACAAACCCACATTTTTGGAAGTGGATAGGTAGATATTTTTTTATTATTATCAAACACATTGATAATCACAGTCTTGAAATTTAATGACGTTTCCATTAGATACAGGACAACTAGACAGATGTTTTATTTATTGTTTTATTAATGTTCAATTTGAAAAAAAAACACTTTGAGAAATGATAAGCCTCAACTTATGGACAATCTGTATTTTCATAGAAATAAAATATACAGTACTGAAAAAAGGATTGGGTCTGTCAGAGTACATCAAGCAAATTATTTTGTATTGTTGTCTTGAATGCTGAATATTACTTTAACTGACTATGATCTGCCTAATTATTTAAATTTTTCAATATATAAAAATAGTTATGCAAGGGTTGATGCTTCCTAAATGTACTTTTAGGATTACTGTTAGCTTAAGTGTAAAATATTATCAAATGGACTTTTTTGTTTTTGCTTTAAAGTGCCTCAGAGAATAATCAGAGTAAAACTGTAAACAGAATTAGAATGCCAACCTGTAACATGTATATTACAAAATCCGTGTTGACCAACCATTGGTAGAGAATTCCAAATTCACGAACAATTTAGAAGTACAATTGTTTCCTGTTTTCTTTTTAAACAATCCAAAGACAAAAATAAAAACTCCTAACATCTGATAATTGATATTTACTGGTAGGTAAATGTGTGTTACAATTAATGTTTACCGGCCCCTCTGAAGTGTCTCATGTAATGTTACTAGTTTGTTAATTTGTTATTTGCTTTTAATTTTCATTATCTTGCTTGTTTTTTTTTATTCCATTTCCAGTCTAGTCCCTAACTTTGTATAATATGATTGTATGGATTTAACATTGTAAAGAGGGGAGTATTATGAAGCTCCCTAGTAGATACATCATTATTATGTATGTCTGTTTTTACTAAGAATGGGAAGGAGTAATTTTTCTATTCTGTATTAGACTAAGTGCAATTGGAGGATGTCTACATATGTACAGAATTTTACATTGATAATTCCTGTCAAGTTCAACAACCCTGTTTTCAGAAGCAGTCATGATTTTCAGCATTTTCTAAAGAAAAAAGTATAAGGTATGGTTAGAGCTCACTTAGGCCCTATAGTTTATATAAAACATGAACTATCTTAGACATTGGTTATATTCAAAATCAAATTTTAAAGAAGAAATAATTATTTTTTTTAAAACAAACTTCAGCAGTTATTACATAATTATGGTGTTATAGGAACAATATTGTAAGCCATTTTGTTTTTAAAAACGAAAAGTTTTCACAAGTATAATTTTTACTCTCCAAGTCTCTTCATATATAGTTTATATAATTATGTCCCCCCTGTGCAATATGAAGATGTATGATAAATTTCGTAGGAAACACCTCTACTAATTCTCAGACTAGTTATCTGTTTTTCCTGGTACTTCATAATTATCTGGTACTGCTTCTTTTAAATACAAAAGAAAAGAGAAGTGAGGCAGAATATTTTCCCATACTTCTAAAGTAGAAAAAGAAACGGTGCATACTTTAGAAAAGGAAAAAATCACAAGTTATGATTTGCATACTGTAGATATAATATTCAAGTAAATTCAGACTTAATTTGACAAGAACCTGTACCTGCTTGTTCATATTTAATACAGAAAGAAAAGTGTGATATCACAGTGTAGGTCTATTGGACTGTCCAAAAAGTGTGATGTCACAGTCTTAGGTCTATTGGACTGTCCAAAAAGTGTGATATCACAGTTTATTGGTCTGACCTTGAACTAGTACTCTCCAAAGTGGCCAGACCTATGGTTAAAAACGGGAAAAAAAAAGAAGGAAATATGGACATTTGACTAGAGCATATTCTTCAGTGCCCTTTGCAGTGGCTAAAACCCCAATGTATACTCATATCAAATCATTATCATATGAGTGTTTATTATAAATTATTTTTTTCTAAGCATCAACAGCAAGGGAGACAGAGGGCTCCAACCATACCTTATTCCTTTCATACAATGTGCAATTTTATTTGTATCCTGTCTCAATTTATTTATTGAAATAGATGTAAGTTATGTATAGCTTGGAGTAAAGTATGTATGAACCATATTACTAATGTTTATTTGTGTATAAAAATTGCTCCAAAATTAGATGAGTTCCCTAATGTATTTTAAATTAGGGTTTTCTTCTTAATGGCTGCTTGCGTTATACCCTTTTCTGTGTTCTTGGAATTAAAACTTTATTGAGTTTTATCAGACTTTTATGTGTTCGTTAATTGTGGACAAGACCGTCACGGTAGCACAGTCAGTAGAGCGCTTACTCCGCGATCGGAAGGTCTTGAGGTCGAATCTCGGCTGGGACTGACCTAAGTCGATAAAAAATAGCAACTGTTCCTTCGCCAAGCGTTCGACACTTTGAAATTGCGGGTACTTCGGGTGAGACCGAGGCCCCGTGTCACGACAGGCGTTGGCACAATAAAGATCCCTCACTGCTCAAGTGCCGAGTAAAGGTCTAAATTTGAAGTCCTTCAGCGGTATTTGGTGACGTTTCTTTATCAGTGAAAAAATCTCGAATGGGACGTTAAACAGCATGCAATCTATGAATTAATTCTGGACAATGAAGTATAAATGTACTGTTTTTCACATCAACGAGGGTTGCTCCAAAAGCAATGTCAATCTGCTGTAAAATCTTTAATAATCGAAAATCAAAATTTGACATACTTATACCCCTATTTATTTTGATTTTTGCGTCCAAAGTTTCCCTCAGTTATATGAAATGTTTTTTTTTTTTTTTGAAATATGAAGATAAAACCAACGTTAAAGCTGACATGAATTCTTAAAAACGCAACATTTGCATCAATGTACGACTTGTTTCATACCAACTATTCCTCCATATTTCTTCTGTAACGATATATACCCCAGTACCCTCGTTACACTTGAGTGAATTTTTGGTTTGGCTATCGACGCGTGCACATCTCCGATAGTAAAGTATTTGGGAACACATGAATTGATGAAAACATTTCAAAACCACAGCAGATAAAAACAGTCATAACGATAATTATGAATAATTATCGTTTTAAATAATATAAATGCAAGTTTGGAAGAAAAAACATAGTTGCGCGTGTTTTTTTAAAAGCATACCAATATATGCATAATAAACTTGAAATTATACACAGTAAAACTCGTACAAAAAAAATTGCAATAATTTATCGTAAGAATGGAACAAACAACCAGCGTATTTGCTGTGCATATCCATATGCATTCAAATACAATTGAAGCATATCGAGAGAACACGTCGAACGCAGTAAACTTATTCATACCTGGAAATAGACCACTATACCCGTTCGAAGATGTGCACATGCCGAGTGAATTACACCCTGTATTCCATTTATTGAAATATGCATCACAAAAAAGTAATAAGTCCGTAAATACTCAACAGTAAACACGTTGTCACTTCATCATATTGCCTAGCACTCAAATACACTTAGTCCGTGCCGATCAGATTTTGGTCAGGGAAAATATCAAAAGTGAAAAAGGGAATTAGTATTTGCGCGACTGGGTAAAAAATAAGAAATCACTAAAAAAGTCTGATTGCTGATTATCTAAAAAATAAACTGAGTAATTTGGTGTAAGAAAATGATTTAGAACACGACACAAAAAGCATTTAACCAGAACACAAATAAACAAATATACACACACACGTGGAGCGGGGGGGGGGGGGGGGATCCCTTTTCTCAGAGTGTCTTTCAGGCATGTGTGTCTTTTAGCATCTAGGAAATAATTGAAACTTTACCTGAAAAATCTTTGACAAGGAAAAAAATTTATATATAATAAAATTATGAGAACAATAATAATAAAAATAAATTAACAAAAATCAATATAAAAAATCTCCAAAATCCTATTTTGTGGAGATGATGGGGGGGGGGGGGGCAACTTTTTCGACGATTTTACTATAGTGCAACAAAAAGTGGAGGGGTCAGCCTTTGAGTGTGTATTTCATACTAAACAGTAAAACATTATGCTTGGAAAAAAATGGAAGGGGGCATCCCCCACCCACGCGTTCTACAGGCCTGTCTTTTACGATTGATTTTGTAAAGATTTTTTTTATTTCAAGACTGACTCCCCCCCCCCTCCTCTTATCCAACATCAGTGTACATTGTATTCAAATATTTTTCTGCCGAAAATGATAGTATGAATGGAATCTGTCCCTCCCCTGACTACGGATTTTTTTAAGTGCCTGTTTTTTTCTTCACTTACCCCAATCTTTAAGTGCCCAAGTTTTAAGTTTTTCTTTTGCTGTCAATCATTTTACTCCCCCCCCCCCCATTCTCCCTCGCTTTCACACATTTTGAGAAACGGTGCTACGTGCCTGTTTTATATGGATGTATAGGAAGCCTTTCCAGATTGGAGAGTTTCCGCAGGCAGTCTAAAATTTGGTACCTAATTGATTTCTTGTATTTTGAGAAAATCTTAAAAGATAGTTTAAGGATTACTTGAAAACTTGGAACGACTTTACTTTACCGGTCCCCAGAAAAACGCGCTAAAATATAGTGTCGCCGTAGGCGACTTCAATATATATGAGATCGCGTGAGCGATCGAAAAAAATAAAAAATATGAGGTTTTAAGCCTTTTTGGCTCCAAATTCGAATTCTACGGTTAAAAGTTTAGTTTAAAACTTCGTTTTTAAACGAAGTTTTTAACCTCGTTTTCTGAAAAAAAGTAATAAATGTTGTTTATTCAGTGAAAAGAAGACAAAAAATAATTGTGAACGAAGCGCGTGCGGCGCATGCTTAGTGCCGTTTCTTTCGTATTTAGCCATTTTTTTCATGTAAACAAACCAACGAGATGTCGTTGAAGCTGAATTAAGATCTTGCAAAAAATACAGATGCAACTGAATTTCTTAATTAATCTAAAAGAACAAGACACTAACCCTAATCTCTCGGGTGGTATGCGAGGACTAACCCAAATCTCCCAGGCGGATGCTAGACCATGCTAGACTAACCCATGTGCGAGGACTAACCCTAATCTCTCGGATATATGCGAGACTAACCCTAATCAGTCGAAAACTTATGCAAGGACTAACCCTAATCTTTCAGGTGGGTGCAAGGCTAACCCTAACCAGTCGAAAAATGTGCAAAACTAACCCTAATCAGTTGAGTTACGTAAATCTTACGTCATAGTGCAATGAGCGTGCGGATCTTGCGGATCTGGGGACCGGTAAAGTAAAGTCTACCCGAAACCTTAACCGCAAGATTATGGATAAATGTTTTTTGCATTTTCAATACAAGTAGTCTCTCTCTCTCTCTCTCTCTCTCTCTCTCTCTCTCACGTGTAAGCATCTATAGCCTACATGTAAGAGCAATAATGCATAAAAAAAATCCGATGTAGTAAAAATCTTGGGAAATGCTATAGTCTTTATAAGGGTAGATCAAGGAATTTTTCTGAGGCAGAGTGGATCAAACCTGCTGAAAAAAATGTCTCCTTTTTTGACAAGGCAAAAAAAAAAAAAAAAAAAAAAAAAAAAAAAGAAAGAAAGAAAAGAAGAAAAAACCTACACACCCAAACGAAAGGGGAACTAAACAATTGTGAAAACTATATTTCACGGGAATGGAAACATGTGGACCCTTCTCACGTACTTTCCAGTGGAAACGAAGTCAGTTTTTTGTTTCTTTATACCTATTAGAAGCTCTGAAGAGCACAGAGGGTTCCTACCAGAAATTTTTAGACAAGAAAAAAAAGAAAAAAAACCAATATCAAAATTTAAAAAAAAAACTTGGGGGGGGGGGGCTCTCTCAGGGGCACGTTTTCCTTTCCTATAAACTTTGACTATTAATTATATAATATTTAAGGAAATAATACACATGCACGCAACTATATTTTAATCATTCAGTCATATTACGATTTTTTTTAAACATCTAGAACTTGTAAATATGTGTAATTGTTAAAAAACACTCATGTAATGTAATGATTAGTACTTTTGCATCGCCTCGTGATATCTTTGGCAATGCGAGGATTGTTGAATCACCCCACTTTACATTTGGGTATACACAGTAGAACTATTTCAATTATCAATATTACTTTCATATATACTAATAGTGTAATACTTACTCAACTTCAAACATGTAATGCAGATTATTTTATATATACATAATTATGTCTGTGCTTATGTGTATTTAAAATAATCTACATTACATGTTTTTGTATATATGAAGTTGAGTAAGTCTGTGTGTGCTTGTTGGTAATTGTGTCAATCGTGCTTGTAATTTGTAACGCCTAAAAGGGCTCTGATTTGAAAATAATCTGTCTACAGAAACAAATTGTTCAGTGTGTGTAAATTTAAGATATATTAGTTTTATATCTAAAATAGTTGAGGCCAGTTCATTGCACGTATTTAAATATAGTCGATCAAGGAAAATCCGACCTTTTCCCGACATATTGAAAAAATGTATTCTACATATTCACCCCCCCCCCCTTTAAAAGATGTAAGATCCGTAACAAGAATGTATGTTTATGTAATAAATTGGAAGTAGTGAAGCCACATTCATGAACATATTTACTACATGTACCGACAACAGTTAGTTCGATTTCTGAAACAATTTATTTGCGTGACTATATTGTCTAATCAGGCAAATACCACAAGTGTCATTTCCACCTTCGATATTTTCCCTGACCAAAAATGCTGATCGGCAGGGACCACGTATGGTCAAGTGCTAGTGACAATGTGTTTGCCGTTGAGTTACAAATGGGGTCATTTCTTCTGTGATGCGTATTTCAATAAAAGGAAAATAGGAAGTAATTCTTTCAACATGTGCACATCCCTGTAGCGATAGCAGTATTTCAGGCAGATGAGTTTAGAGCGTTCGACCCGTTTTCTCGGCATGCAAGCATGTACAACTTGAATGCGTAAGTTGCATAGTATGTGCTTATACTGTGTAGCATGCATAAAGTTCAACAGTACAGTGTTATTTGGAAAAAATTGCATGTGGTAGCCTTTTTCTTCTTTATTGTTCAAATATATATGTACACCAAAGTTGCATTTGCCGTTTTGATTTTTATGCATTGCATCTAAATTATTCAAATTTTATATACTCCTGTCCAGTTTTCATAAAAAAGAAATCCTAGATTTGGTAGGATTGTTAGATTTATTGCATGTTCCAAAACTGCTTTATCGAGATGTGTATAGGCCTACATGTTTTCGGTCAGTTCATGGCGTTTTCCGAAACTTTGCTATCGGAGATGTGTACATGTCAA